AATAAAACTATTAATAAAAAAGACTTGATTTAAAACTAAATGATAAAATATAAAAAAAATCATTAAATAAATATTTTGATTTTATAAATTTTTTTAGTTTGTCTTTATAAATAATATTTATTAAAAGAGCAATTAATATAATTATACAAAAATATTTATAAATTAAAAAATTTAATGAGTTTTAATTGATTTATTGATATTTTTTTAATATAATAATTATTAGTATAAATGGAGTTGTAGTTGTTATAACAGTCATTATAATCAGTGATTTTCATAGAAATGCAATCAATTGTTGTTTTGTATATTCATTGCATTCAAGCCATCAATTGTTTCACACAATTCATTGAATTTGTTATTAATTTTATTGTAAATTCAATGATAAACTTTTCAATTCATAAAATTTATTTAATTTATTAATAGTTTTGTTTAATAACAACAACTCCATTATTGTTTAGAAAATTTAACTAAAATATCAAATAAATACTATTGTGTTTTCTTTGATCGCACATTGAAATCACACCAAACAATGATTAAAATAGGAAATGGATATCATATCACTGTATATAAGATATTTGTATTTAATCCTTAAACCTGTTTAATACTTTGAATTACTTTAGGTTAACATATACCAGTATAATGTATTTCTATTAGTTTATCACTATATTAAAACAATTAATGTATATTTTATTTATGCTTTTAAGGTATATTTATTAATTTAGTTTAATTAGTTTTATATAATTACATAAATAAATTTTATATAAATAAATTTTTTTTATCAGTGATTGATGAACAAACAGTTTGAGGACTAATCAAATATAATACCAATATTTACTTACAATATATTTTCTAATTGATTTTTTAAAAATAATATAATATTTATTTAATAATTTCTATTGAATTACTTTTTTTTATTATTATTAATTTAATTTTATAGAAAAAATTACATAAATAATTGCAATAATTGTTATTTAGAATATAATATTATAATTATTTGTTTGAGGACTAATCAAATGAAATATAAATAGTTATTATTATTAAAGATAATTTTAATTGATTTTTTAAAAAATAATTTTTTATTAATAATTTATATTGATTTACTATTTTATTAATTTAGTTTTTTAAAGAAAAAATTACATAAATAATTGCTATAATTCTTATTTAGAATATTATATTATAATTATTTGCTGCAAATTGTTAATATTTTACAAATTTATTTATAATACTTAATTAAATAAATTATAGATAAATAGATTAATATAATTATAAAAACATTCAATTTAATGATTTATTGTAAAACTTTTCAAACACTTGTTTACACTGAACAATGAAATTGTTTTTTTAGTTTAAATAATTTTGTGTAAAATTATCATTATATTTATAAAATTGAATTAAGTTTAGTAATTTAAAAAAACATAACAAAAATAAATCTAAATTATTTATGGCAATTATATTTATGATAATTTAGTGAATATTTATGTGAAAAACATTTATTACATTAATTGACATTACATTTAAATGGTTTAATTCCTGAATGTTTTCTTTTATGTCTTAAAAGTTTAGATTTAATAGCAAATTGTTTGCCACAGYTATCGACATCACATTTGAATGGTTTAATACACAGATGAACATATCGTTTATGATGTCTTAAATGATTTAAATTAKTAAAATATTTTCTACAATTTTTGTAATCACACATRAATTGTGGTTCAATTGAATGATCAATTGATATGTGTTGTCGTTAAACAATGATTTGTTGTAAAAGTTTTCAAACACTTGTTTATTGAACACTTAAATTGTTTTTTCTTCAAATGAATTAATTTATGTATTTTATAATTGCCTTTTGATGCAAATGTTTTATTACAATATTCGACATCACATTTAAATAATATTTGTTTTAAATGAACTCGAATTTCATGTGTTTTCTTATGAAAATTTTTTGAAAATATTTTGTCACAATTTTCATAAAAGCATTTAAACTTTTTATTAAAATGATTGTTAGATTTATGTTGATTTAAATGTAATTTACTACTAAAACATTTCCGACAATCGTTGTAATCGCAGACATATTTAACAATTAAATGTTTAGATCTTTTATGACAATCTAAATGTGATTTAAATTTGAATGTTTTATTACATTTATTACATTCAAACTGTTTTATAGATGAATGCGATAATTGATGTATAAGTAAAAGACTTTTATTATTGTTAATATACCGACATTTTGGCCAAAAGCAATTGAATCGCGTGTTATTGTTGTTATCCACACGTGTGTTGTTGTTGTTGTCATAACTAGTATCAGTAATTGCTATAATTATCCTAAATATTCATTAAATAAAAAATTTATAGAGTTTTAAATGTTTTATTAATAATTATTTAAAAGTATATTATATTTATTTTATTAACATTCATTGTATTATTATTATGAATTAACAGTTTATAATACTGTATTCATTAAATTATTAAATTATAATTTTATATAGAATTAAGTTTAATTATTTATTATAACATATCAAGAAATAGATCTAAATTATTTATGACAATAATATTTATGATAAATTAGTGAACATTTTTGTGAAAAACATTGATTACATTCATTGACATTACATTTAAATGGTTTAATTCCTGAATGTTTTCGTTGATGTACTAAAAGTACAGATTTAGTAGTAAATTGTTTGCCACAGTTATCGACATCACATTTGAATGGTTTTATATTCAGATGAATATATCGTTTATGTTGTTTTAAATATTTTAATTTTTAAAATTTTTTTCTACATCTATTGTAATCACAAATAAATTGTGGTTCTATTGAATGATCTATTGATATGTGTTGTCGTAAACAATGATTTGTTGTAAATGTTTTTAAACAGTCGTTTACTGAACACTTAATTTGTTTTTTCTTCAAATGTGTTAATTTATGTATTATATAATTGCCTTTAGATATAAATGTTTTATTACAATATTCGACATCACATTTAAATAGATTTTGTTTTAAATAAACTCGAATTTCATGTGTTTTCTTACGAAAATTTGTTGTAAATATTTTATTACAATTTATATGAAAACATTTAAATTTTTTATTAAAATGAACAATAGATTTATGTTCATTTAATTGAGTATTTCTATTAAAATATTTGCCACAATCGTTGACATCACAAACATATTTAATATTTAAATGTTTAGATCTTTTATGACAATCTAAATTTGATTTAGATTTGAATATTTTATTACATTTATTACATTCAAACTGTTTTATAGATGAATGCGTTAATTGATGTAAAATTAAAAGCTTTTTATTAGTGTTAATATACCGACATTTGGGCCAAAAGCACTTGAATTGCTTGTTATTGTTGTTATTCATACGTGTGTTGTTGTTGTTGTCATAACAGTCACTATAATCAGTGATTTTCATAGAAATGCAATCATTTGTTGCTTTAATATTCATTGCATTCATTTGTTTCACACAATTCATTGAATTGACTATTAATTTGTTGTAAATTCAATGATAAGTTTTTCAATTCGTTAAATTTATTTAATTGATTTACAATTTTACAATCATTATATTTAAAATATAATAAATTATGTATTAATTATTTTGATTTTAAAATAAACATTATATTCAGAAAACAGTGAATTATGACAACAACAACAACTCAAAAATGGATAATCAAAATTAAATGTCATTAATATTTTTGATAATTTAGTAAAAGATATATTTGAAAAACATTTATTACATTCATTGACATTACATTTAAAAAAACATTTCAAATGCAAATGTTTTCGATGATTAACGATTGTGATAAATGTTTTAATTAAATTGTTTGCCACAGTTATCGACATCACATTTGAATGGTTTTATATTCAGATGAATATATCGTTTATGTTGTTTTAAATATTTTAATTTTTATTAATAAATTCAACAATAATTGTAATCACAAATAAATTGTGATTCAATTGAATGATCTATTGATATGTGTTGTCGTAAACAATGATTTGTTGTAAATGTTTTTAAACAGTCGTTTACTGAACACTTAATTTGTTTTTTCTTCAAATGTGTTAATTTATGTATTGTAATAAAATATTTGAAAGTCTTCGAGATTATAATAATCATAAATTAATTCATTTAAAAGGAAAGCAATTTTATTGTTCATTAAATAATTTTTAATATTTAGTTATTAAATCATTAATTAATAATAAAATTTTTAATATCATTCAATTTAAATAGATTAAATTTCGATACGATTATAAAAATTGTGATAAAAAATATATTTTACATTACATTTACTTGGTTTGCATCGACACAAATATACATGTATTAAATCAGTGATTAAATATATTTGTAAAATAGTTTTTTTTAAATTTTTTTACATCAATTAAACAATAGATTTTCAATTCACTAATTTGTAAATAATTTATTTTTTTATTATCAAACATTTGTTATTGTTTTTTTTAAACATATAGTTAAACTAATAATGTTTGATGAAATTAATTAATTTTTTTTCTTACAAATATTTATAAATTAAATATGAATATATAGTTTAATTATTTAAAATAATTATAAAATAATTATAAAATAATTTATTTATTTATATTTTTGTATTTTATTTACAATATATATATAGACGTAATGTATGTTTGAATGCTATTCAATGATTTCAATACACAAACAGTGATGTCATCGATATGTCTGTTAAATACAACAACAAAACACAACAACACGTGTATTACAAACACAGTAATAATAATTTATTTTTTTTTAAATAACTAAATGTTTGTGTTATTTAATGTCTTTATATTTAATTTAACAATTAGTGAATAATATTAATATAATAATAAATATTTTAAAATAAGTGCTATTAATGAATGATTTTTTTAAAAAATAATAATGAATAAAATGAAATACAAACGAAACAGTTTTATATTAACTGATTGTGTTTATAACGATTGTAATAATAATAATAATGTGAACAATAATTATAGTAAATATGGATTTACTGTTAAATCAATTAATGATATAAATAGTTGTGAAATGAAAAAAACAAATAAAGAAGTGATGAATGAATCAATTGATCGACAATTGAATGACAAACAAGTAATTAGTGATAAAAGCGATGCAAAACTGTTTGACACAAACACTGAGATTATAGTAACAAACATTGCATTCAATACACAATCAGTCAATAATTGTCAGACTAGTAGTAGTAGTAGTAGTAATAGTGATTATACTGATTGCGATAATAGTGTCGACAATACAAATAATACGCTATTAAGCGATTCACGATTGCATAGACTTATACCGTATGCAAAAATGACAGCCAAAGAGAAACAAATAATTAATGAAAATAATCTGAAAGTAATTAAAGGAAAGTTAAGTAAACATGAATTGGAAATATTGACCGGAAATTGGGATAAGTTTTGTGAAGACTATAAGTGCGATGAAGACATGAAAACACGTCTATTGGGTTACTTTGCATTGACTAATAGATATACTAGAAAACAGAGGAAAGATTTTCAATATTTTATGAGAAGCTCACAGTTTTTGATGCGATTGGCCAATGGTTTGCCTAATCGTACGATTTTACAGATATATCAAACGGCAAGAGTTAAGTTTCATTCATTGAAATATCTTAGAGACCTATCAATGGATATGAGAGATAAAGTCAAAAGTTTACATTCAGTTTATGGTAATAAATGGACAGAAATTGGCGAAAGAGTTACTTCGACACCGAATTCAGTTTATTGTTATTTTCGGTTAAATTTCAACAAAAATGGCGAACCATTTGATACGGGAAAGTGGACTCTGGATGAAGACCTGAGACTATTGGCAGCATTTAAACGAGTGCTGAATACCGATGATCTTAAACAACATATCTATACTAAACAATTGCCGTTCAAACAAATCGGTGATTTGGCTGAAATTAATAGAAGTTTAACACAAATTGAAAAACATTGGCATCAATACCTGCGCTGGCAATTGGCTCAATGGGATCAACTGGTGGACAGTTGGTCGCAGACAGACACCGCACGACTAATATATTGTTTGTTTAAATATAACTTTACCGATGAATCGGACATCGATTGGGACATAATTAAGGAAAAATTTGCAAATATTTCGTCGTTCAACTCATTGATGAGAAACTGGCGTCTAATTAGTCAAACGGTTCCCTCAGTTGACTGTAAATCCTATAAACAGATCATTGATTTTCTTTATGATAACTATTTGCCAAAATATATTAAAAGTGATGACGAATTAAAAGAGTTTGAAATGTTTTTTAATAGTTAAGATGTTTTTTTTAAAAAATTAAATATTGCATATAAATTACAAGTTTGAGTTTAGCTTTTTGTCTAAAAATTTTTATAACACTTATCGTAAGCACATTATTATTATTATTATTAAAATAAATTGTTGATTTTAATATACATTTAAACTATTTATATGTTAAGAAACATTTGCCGCAATTATCATTGATTCGCAAACATATTTTACTGATTAAAATGCATTTAAATAAAAAACGTTTAAATATTAATTATGAAGATTGTAATAAAAAATTTACACAAATTTCTAATTTAAAAAGTTATCGAAAAATAAATCATTTAAAACTATAATTATTTAAATGCGATTATTGTTGTAAAATATATAATAGCCTTCGAGATTATAATAGACATAAATTAATTGATTTAAGAGGAAAACAATTTCATTGTTCAGTAAATAACAAGTGTTTGAAAACATTTACAACAAATCATTGTTTACGACAACACATATCACGGGATCATTCAATTGAAACAGAATTTCGATGCGATTATAAAAATTGTAATAAAATATTTACACAAATTTCTAATTTATAAAGACATCAATTAACCATTCATTGAAATTATAATATCAATCATTGAATAGCTCTCTCTCTCTCTCTCTCTCTCTCTCTCTCTCCCTTCTTTATTTATTTTTTTTATTTATTAATAATTGTTAAAATAATTAAAATAAAGTTTCTATCTATCAATATATGTGTTTAAAGCCATTCAAATGTGATGTCGTCGACAACAACAACAACATCAAAAACTGTGGCAAACTATTTGCTAATAAATCTAATCTATTACGACATCGACGACAAACACATTTAGGCATTAAATCATATAAATGTGATGTCAATGATTGCAACAAAATTTTAAGTTCAAAAGCATCATTAAATAATCATAAATATATTGTTCATTAAATAATTCATTAAACATCAATATACTATTGCTGAACTAATTAAATAATAAAATATATTTTTATGTTATTATTATTATTATTATTATTATTGAAAAACATTGTTTATTTTAATTGTATATTACTGTCAAAAAATGTGATATCAATAATTGAAACTATATTTTCTACGAATACTATAATATTTTAATTGTAATATTATTTAATTAAATAAAATAAAATAATAATTTTTAAATTTATTTACAAATATTGAATAAATTAATTATAATTAGTATTATTTCTAAATTTTTTACAATTTTTTTACAATTATTATTAAAACATAATAAAAATTTAATTATTTTTTTAAAAGTTAGTTAATTAAAAATTATATAATCACTTATTATGCTAATATATTTCTAATAATATTCTAACTAATAAATAATAATTTTTTGAAAAATATACATAAATTTATAATAATTTTGAAAATGCTGGTATTGGATTTGAATAGTTTTATAATTTAAACAAAACAATATTTTAATTCATTAATAAGTTACAGTTTTATATAATTTTTTTAAATATAATTTTATTTTATAAATATATAACAAATAGTTTACTATTAATTATTAGTATAAATAAGTCATATACTACAGTATATATTAATAATATAAACTTTATTTATCATATATATAATTCCTAGGACTCACTGTTTATGTCAATTATCAATGTGTTATCAAAATTTAAAAAAATACATGTGTTTTAGTATTATATTATATTATTTATTTTTTTGCTATAATATAGATAATGAATTTGTTATTTATTATAAAAAAATTGTATTTAAACTATTAAAAACTAAAATCTATTAAAAAAAATTAATCATTAATATATTACAACTTAATTGTGTGAAACAATTGAATATACTTTAGTGATTATAATAACAACAAAAAATGATTGCATTTCAATGAAAATCAGTGATTATAGTGATTGTTATGACATCATCAACAACAACAACACACGAGTGGATAACAACAATAACACGCGATTCACGTGTTTTTGTTCTAAATGTCGGTTTAAAACTAAAATTTATTAAATTATTACGAAAACGAGTTAATTATTATAATAAAATCAATGAAATAAAACATAAACTGAATATATTAAGTGTATTGAAATCATTAAAAAATAGATATTATTGATAAACAAACGAATAGTTTGTCATAAAATACTAATGTTTTGTGTGAACCGATTGAATGTTTGAATGCAATTAATATCACAACAAATGATTGCATTTCAATGAAAATCAGTGATTATAGTGATTGTTATAACATCATCAACAACAATGACACACGTGTGGATAACAACAATAAAACGCGATTACGTGCTTTTGGTCCAAAAAGTTGGTTAAATACAAGTAAGAGAAACAAAAAAAACATTTAATTAGTCATCAATTGATTTTTTTATTTATTTGTTATTCAATTTTTTTGCATAACATTTGTTATGAAAATATTTAAATAGAAATAATTTATTAAAAAAATGTTATACATTTTAAAAGTCTATATGTTATAACAATTGCCGCAAAAATTTTATTTTTTTAAATTAATAACTAATTAGACATTAGTTTGGCTTTCATTTTGATAATTTGTATCTAAAAAAATACTTAAAATTGATTTTAGTATATATTTAAAAAATATGTGTTTAATGTGTTACCGTTTATTTCGAGAAATATTTAGCAAATATAATAAACCATATAATTTGTAACAAATATTATAACAAAAAAATAATAGATAGGCTTAAGTATCATAAAATATAAAATTGAATCAAAAAATAATAATAAATTTGTTTAAACAATATTAAAAATTTAATTAATTTAAAAAAAATAATTATTAATCATACAATACTGTATGACAAAATTACAAAGTATATTTTATCAAAATTTTAATTTCATTATTATTATATATAACTTAAATATTAATTATTAAGTATACTAGTTTTAGGGCATCACTAAAACATTTATTACAATGGTTATTATTATTTTTTAACAAAAAAAATCATATTTTTAATTAAAATTTATTATAAGACTTATATAAGATTTTAAGAAAAAATGCATAAATAGTTTTTGAATATAAAACTATAGTATTGTTTATATTTGTGATTACAGTTTGTTTTTTAATATAATAATATATTACTAACAAAAATAATACTATTATAACTAATATAACTAGAAACTGATTTAATTATTAAAAAAATAAACTGTAATTACATAATTTAGTTAAAGTTTTACAAAATCAATAATAATTAATAATAATATATAATTGAAACGTTTAATATCTAATATTACTTTTAAATACATTTTTATTATTTTTAATTAGTATAAACAATTATATACTGTAAAAAAATTTAATATGATATTAATTAAATAAATTGTAATAACAAAATTGATTGATCATGGTGATTTGATAACAACAATTTGCGGTACATGTTTGTGTGATGTCATTGATTGTAACAAAAATGTTTGTTTGTTTTTTTCTAGTAATCATTATTTTATAATATCATTGATTTCATAAATTTATTTATTTGATTAATATTTGGTTTTAATTTTTTTTACTATTTTTATAATTTTTAATAAATATTCAAAAAAATGTGTCCTCATCGACATTGCAACCAATAATATACCAATAATATAACCAATAAACAAAAAAAATAATAAGTTATATTGTTAAAATTAATATCAAAATTATTTATTTACTAACACAGTTGCCAATAGACAAATAAACAATTATTTAATAGTAAAAATAATTTTAAATATACTATCATAGTATTGAATATATTAGTTTTTACAGTTTATTAAATAATATCTATAATAATGATAATTTAAAAAAAAATTAAATTTATATTACTGTATATTATAATTAAATTATAAACTTTAATAGTTTGACTACTATATCGGCTAATAGTTATTAAAATAAATAATTATTAATAAACAAATAATATTATTAGAAATATTTGTTATTACAGTTTATTTAGATCTGATTATATAAATTTATGCAAATATATTATTAATATATACTAATAAATTTATTTTACTTTTTAAAAAAATATATAAATAATCATTATAATAAATTATTAAATAATATCTAAAATTTAAATTTATCGCATTTATTTCAATTACTAATTGAATCTTATATTAATTATTTATCACAATTCATAAAATTAACTAAAAAAATAAGAAATTGTTTTATTATATCAGGCAAATTAAATGAAACAAATAAATTATTAATAAAAAAAAGTTTAATTAATAGCTTAGAAAATAATACTATAATAAAATTTTAAAAAACTTAATTTTATTTATTGATATCTATAGAAATTAAATTTATATCACAAATATGTATTGTATATAATATAAATTATTTCAAATATAAGATTAAATATAAAATACAATTTATTTAATAAAAATAAAACAATAATTACTCGCATTTAAAAATAATAATAATAATGTGATTTTATTTATAATTACTTTCAATAAAATATATTTAATAGAGTAGTAATTTATACAAAAAGTCTCAAATCTAAAATTTAATAAATTTTAAATATTAATTTAACGTTTATAATTTTATTTTAATAGTTTATTACAGTTTTAAACATTTAACATACATTTATCAATATTAATAGATAAATTAGTGTAATTTAATTAATAAATTTAATATTATTTATTTTACAAATAATAATTTTTTATACTTATATAATGTTACTAAACAAATAATTTAATATTATATTTCTATTTAATTTATTTTTAAAATTTACTAAAATACTGTATAAAATATGATATTAAATACATTTTATTATTATATATTTTTTTAAATACGAAAGTATATTTAAATACGGTATACTATAAACTAAATTATTTAATTAAAATTTTTTTAATCAATAAAACTAATTCTATAAATAATTAATTATTAAAATAATTTATAATATTTTTTTCAATTAAAAACAATATATTTATATAAAAAAATATAATTAATTACAAACTATATCGCAATAATAACTTAATATTATTATTACTATTAATAATATTTTATTTATTTACAAATTTATTATTTTTTGTATCATTACTATTAGCAATTTAATCAATTAATTAATAAATAGTTTTTATTGAATTTTCAAACAATAATCTAAATAAATCTTTAAAAAACGACACAAATATCTAAAAATAAGCATAAATTTATTAAATTGTTTAAAGTTGTAAATTTTTGATACTAATTTTATATCTATTACTAATTATTTATATAAAATTATACTACTATCTAATAAAATTTAACAGTTTATTAGATAATATAATTTTTATATAATTAATATATTAATTATTTATTACAATTAATAAAATTAACTAAAAAACAAACTTTTTTATAACTAATAATTATTGTATTTTCTCAATAATAGTTTTTTTTATAAAATAAAAATTAATCGTTATATTAGATAAAAAATAGTATTAATACTAATTATTTTTTTCAAAAAATAATAATTTAATAATAAATTGTTACACATTGTTAATTAATTAACGATTGGTATTCATAAAAAATGATAATTATATAAATTACTTTGGGAAACATTATGTTTAGTAAATTTACGCGTAATTTACTTTAAACAAAAAAGTTATAATTTTTTTAATAACATTTGTTATCGTCATATACATTGCCATAACTATAATAATGGTTATAATAATAATAATGATATTAATTAAAATAAATAAATATTACATTGGTATCAATGGATGAATTCAATTCACTTGTAATTTAATTGAAATTTATTTTTTATTTAGTTGTTATTTAAATTAATGTTTTTAGTTATAAAAAAACTTATTTGTTTTTTTTAATATAATTATATTTTTTAGTTATAAAATTTTTTTATCTATGAATTTATTATTAATTGCATAAATAGTTATTAAATGTAAAACTATAGTATTTTCAAGTATTGTGATTACAGTTTATATTATTATAATCTATTAATTCAATTTATTATTACTACTACTATATATATAGCATATATTTTTAGTACATATACAATGTATATTATAGACTTTAAATTTTATTTATATATATATATATATATATATATAGATAAAAATTATTATAAAATTATAAAAATTAATATATAAGTTTAAAAAACGTTGACATTAGTGTATATTTTATAATATTTTATCATGTAATTAGTTTTAGTAATAAGTTTAGTATAAAAAAAATTATAATAATTCGCAAATATCTAATTGTTTTAAAATAAATAATTATTACTAAACAATAATAGAATTACAAATATTTTTTATAACAGTTTATAGATTTGTATATAAATTTATGCAAATATGATAGTAATATATTAAAAATATAATTTAAAAAATTATACAGTAATTAATAATTTTAAAAACAAATATAATTATAAATATTATTTTAACTAATAGTAAAAACTAAACTATGATACTGTAGTATATTTATAATTAGTTAACAATATATTATACTAATAATTTTATTTAAAAATATTATTATAATAAATTGTTAACTAATGTCAAAAATAATATTTAAAAAAGTAAATGAAATAAAAATATCTTTTTTTATAACATTTTTAACAAGAGGTATTAATAATTATGATATTAATAAAAATAAATAAATGTTACATTTAGCAATTTATTTATTATTTAAATTAATGTTTTTAGTTGTAACTAGCACATTTTTTATATAAAAAATTATCCCTTTTTTAAAATAATTAAATTATATTTTTTAGTATCTATTAGCCTATTTTAAATAGTTAATAAATATAAAAATACAGTTTATATTTAATAATAAATTAATTCAATATATTATTACTACTACTACATGTAAAATATATTTTTTAGTACATATACTCTGTATTATATACTAAATTTTATTTATATATACATTTAGATAAAAAAATTATTATATTATTATAAAAAATAATATATAAGTTTAAAAAACGTTGACATTAGTGTAAATTTTTATAATATTTTATCATGTAATTAATTTTAGTAAAAAGTTTAGTATAAAATAATTATTTATTACAAATAATATACTAGTTATTTATTAATTGATATTTTTAAGTTATTATTATTAAAAAAAAATTATATATTATTCGTATATAACTTTAGTATATTAATTATAATATCCAACGTTCGCTGAAGTCTATTATAATTAACATAAATAGTTATTAAATGTAAAACTATATTATTGACTATTTTTGTGATTACAGTTTGTAATCATAAATTAAATTCAATATATTAATAATATACAGTATTATTATTATTATTATTATTATTATTATATTTAGTTTTTATTGTTATCATATATACTATATAATATTGATATCAACTAAAGTTATAACAAATTAGTGCCTAATTATAAAGATTTTCAAGTATTTTTAAATTATTTTTTACTTAAATTTACAATTACAATAATAATAAGTTAATAATTTTATTTTAATTTAATTCATTATAATTTCATAAAAATTAAAAAAACAAATTCTAAGTATAAATGTTTGTAAAAATATTTTAAAGTATCATTACTATTAAAACAATTAATGTATATATATTATAATATAACAAATTAACAATATTATTAATTTTTAATGTGATACATATAAAATTGATCATGGTGATTTGATAACAACAATTTGAGGTACATTTTTTGTCGCCGCCATCACTGGCCTACTAACTGTCTGTCCATTTGTATATCTATTCATTACAAACTGATTGTTAGCTAACATCCCGCGCGGCACTTTTATCTGTCTCATCATTGGCCGCTGAACCGGGCGTTTAATCGTCATCGGCTGAACAGGTATTACTTTGAAACGATATATAGTAAACCCCAGCGACTGTATGACAGTAGTTAGCAAACATATAGCTGACAGATATACCAGTGCCAGGACTATGGATAGGAGTTCTCATTAGAGATGGGCAAATAGAAAGTTTCTAATAAATTTCCCTGAGAAAGTTTCTAGAAACTTTCTCAAGAATAAATTTCTATAGAAATTTAACTTTATTGTTATACTATGGGATCCCCATATCTATAGCTATTGAAATAATATATAAATAATGAGACATTAACTACTATTCATATAACATTACACTATACACTAATAAATGCGATACCTATATGTAAAATAATAATTATTTAATAATAATCAGTTTTCTAAAATTTTAATAATCATTTTATTATATATATATAAGAATTTAAGATAATTAAATAAATGAATTTTTACTTTAATTAATAATAAAAATATTAATATTTATATTTAATTATTACTTGTAAAACCAATTTATTTTTACATAATATCGAGAGCTTATATCGAGAAAACAAAATTAACCATGGGGATCCCATAGATAGAAATTTCTTTTAGAAACTTTCTAGAAATTTCTCTATTATTTTATAAATTTCTCTTTTTTGCCAACACTAGTTCCCATAGAAAAGCTATTGAAAAACTGTTGATGAGTTGGACTGATGGCCGCACCAGTCGATAGCCAACAGGTATTGTCAACATTATCACCAAAAACATTGAAATCAATAGACCGTGTATTACAAGTAGACTAGTTTTGGGCCGTTTTATTGAAACCAATTCACTGTATACTAGACGACACATTAGTATTACCGATACTATCAGTAATACTGAACTAAAATAATTGAAATATTTTTGCAAAAATTTGAATCTCACTAAAAATGTTGTATCAATAGTATAGGTATTGATCACTGATAGCGTACACAATATATACAAATAGCCGATAATTAATATACTGGTTATAGTAATTTTTAATTGTAAATTTAACATTATTAATAAATACTAATATTCAATAAATAATTATATATTTAAATTATATATTCAATAATATACAGTACATTATTATAGATATATTATGAAATAATATAACTGTTTATTTATTTAGTCAACTAATTGACTCTCATTTTTGTTTAATAATATTAGTGTTTATAAAAATTAAATTAAATTAAGTTTACACTTTGAGCATTCTAATATTTTTTTGAATAAATAATTATTAATAAACAATAATATTATTACAAATATTTGCTATTACAGTTTATATTGATAGATTGGTTTATAATTTATGCAAATATTAATTTACTAGAAAAAATAATTTAATATTACTGTATAAATAATTTTGTTTTTATAAAAAAAACTCTAGTTTAACTATAAAAAAAATCTAATAGTTTTTTTTTCTAGTAAATTAATAATTATTTACTTTAAAAATCATTTAATATCATAATCTTAGATTAGATAAAATTATATAAATATATATTTTTTTGTAAATTAAATATATAAATAATGGTGTCGTCACTGCTACTAATAAATTGTATAAATATTTACTAAAATAAAGCTATAATATTGTTTATTATTGTGATTACAATTTTTGTAATCATAAATTTAATTAATATATATATATAATATTACTGTATTAAAAGTGTATAAATATTAATTCATATAATTTTAATAATAATAATAATACGATTAATACAGTTATAATAACTAATAATAACTAGAAACTGATTTAATTATTACTATTTTTTTTTAGAAAAATACTGTAATAATATAATTTACCTAAAGTTTGACAATAATTATGATAATTTATTAATAATATATATTATTTAACTTATGTACTTATGATTATTATTATACGGTTAATACGGTTAATACGGTTAATACGGTTAATACGGTTAATACGGTTAATACGGTTAATACGGTTAATACGGTTAATACGGTTAATACGGTTAATACGGTTAATACGGTTAATACGGTTAATACGGTTAATACGGTTAATACGGTTAATACGGTTAATACGGTTAATACGGTTAATACGGTTAATACGGTTAATACGGTTAATACGGTTAATACGGTTAATACGGTTAATACGGTTAATACGGTTAATACGGTTAATACGGTTAATACGGTTAATACGGTTAATACGGTTAATACGGTTAATACGGTTAATACGGTTAATACGGTTAATACGGTTAATACGGTTAATACGGTTAATACGGTTAATACGGTTAATACGGTTAATACGGTTAATACGGTTAATACGGTTAATACGGTTAATACGGTTAATACGGTTAATACGGTTAATACGGTTAATACGGTTAATACGGTTAATACGGTTAATACGGTTAATACGGTTAATACGGTTAATACGGTTAATACGGTTAATACGGTTAATACGGTTAATACGGTTAATACGGTTAATACGGTTAATACGGTTAATACGGTTAATACGGTTAATACGGTTAATACGGTTTTATTGATAGTTGAAATGTGTAGATTAGATAATAGATAAATTGTTTTAACCAAAAAAAATGTAGTTATAAAAAAATTTAATGACTTATTAGTTGCTGATAATTAGAAACTGTAATATAAATATATTTATATATATATATATATAATAATAATTTAATTTGTATACAATATACTGTATATATATAATTTATATTAATAATTATTATCTATATTAATAATAATATTAATAATTATCTAATTTATTGCAATTAATTGTCATCACATTTACTATACTATTTAATTCATAAATATATTTGTCGATGTCTTAATAGTTTGTTTTTATTAACAAATTGTTTGCCACAGTCATCGACATCACATTTGAATGACTTTATATCTGAATGTACACAATGTTTGTGTTGATAGAGACAACCGTAAGTATCAAAAAATAATTTTTTTAAAATATTGCACTATAATAAGGGCCAGTACTACTACTACTACTACTACTATATATGGCTAACTGTCCATCAATTGAAGTATAATTCGCACATTGAAATAGAAAATGGAAAATGGATATCATATCACTGTATGTAAAGATATTTGTATTTAATCCTTAAACATGTTGTAAATAATTATTATTACATTTTACTTTAGATATACTAATACTAATGTATAGGTATTTTGATCGTACATTTAAAATCACACCAAAAATCTTTATCATAGGATAAAAGGATATTATTTTATATATTAGTTTTAGTTTATCTTAAATCCTATTTATTATTTGTTTAGTACTTTTATGTTAAGTGTTTTACAACTTTTTTATTTTGTATAATTAACATTATAATATTTAATAAAGTATTTAATACATTTTTAAATCTAAAAAAATAAAACTATAAATAAAAAAATACTTTTATTAAAATATAATAAATTCATGAAATAATTATTTTGATTTTATATATTGAATTAAGTAATTTTTAAAAAACATACTAAAAATAAATGTAAAATTATTTTATGACAATAATATTTATGATAAATTAGTGAATATTTTTCTTTAAAACATTGATTGCATTCATTGACATTACATTTAAATGGTTTAATTCCTGAATGTTTTCGATGATGTTTTAAAAGTTCAGATATAAAAGCAAATTGTTTGTCACAGTTATCGACATCACATTTGAATGGCTTTATATTCAGATGATTAGTTCGTTTATGTTGTCGTAAATATTTTAAATTTATAAAATATTTGCCACAACTATTATAGTTAATTAGTTAGAAAATAATAAATTCTAGTAGAATAAATAACTATAGATATATTTATTTAATTAATTAATTATTTCTGTTTAATAAATTTAGCAATATAATTTTTAAATATTTATATATTAACAGTTTATAATATAATTATCAATGTTTAATAGCAGTATATGATTATTATGTTAAAACTGTTATTTAACTAATTATATTATATTGTATTAATCTAATTACAATTGAATTAATTTTTATACGAAAACATATACACAGTATATACAGCCTAAACTGTAATAACTGTAATAATTATTATTTTGATTTTATTTTGAAAAATAATTATACAAATAATAGTTTCATTTGATATAATATTATTTTTTCAAGAAAAAAATATACAATAAATTTAGTTTTATTAATAGCTAGTATTTTATTAAAAAACTTATTTTAGTTAATAATTAATTTATTTTATTTAATAAAAATTTAATTAATTAAAAGTAAAATAAAAATAATTAATAAAAAATAATAATAAAATATTTTACTATTATTAATATTATTATGTACAGTGTAATTACAATACTGTAACAACATATATTTTAAATGCATTACAAATTTATTAAAAATAATTTTTAATTATTAAATTAGTTATTTAAATAATTATAAAAATAATTGTTTCGAAAAAATATATAATAATTATTTTTTTTAAATAAATAAAATATACAATAAAATAGTCAATAAATTTAGTTGTATTAATAATTAAAAAAAAATTATTGTAAACATATAGTATTATAAAATTTATTTTTCTTAATTAATTTATCCTATTGTCTATATATATTTAATAAATTAAAATAAACATAATTATAACTCTTTAATTAATGTAATAAAATATTATAAGTTAGGACTCAAATGATTTTTTAATATCATTTAAAAATAAAATACTATTAATAGATAAAAAAAATATTCGCGTATATTATGTATGAATGAAATGCAATATTTTTGTATAAAAGTTTATTTTATGACTAAATTAAAAAAATAAATAAATACAACAAATGATATGATTTAATTGGTTGTAATAATAATAAGTTTAATAAAGTTATTTTATATTCAATCAGTGATATAAACAGTAGTCAAATGTTTAATAATAATTAAGACAATTATGAAAATAATCAGTTTTTTGATGACAATAAAAAAGTGATAATTGAATCAATTGAATGTCAAACAAGTAATGACAGACTGATAACAAAAAGTTTATGAAAAAATTGAATTTAAAAAAAACATTTAAAAATCAGTTAATTATTAAACTATTATTATTTGTAATGATTATAGTGAGTGCAATAATAATAATACTAATAATACACACACACCTATTATAATAAACAATTTGTTTAATTTAAATGATTTATTAAATGATTTTCAAGTGAAGTGCATATATTATCGACAAAAAATGTCAACACTTGTCATCAATTTAGTGGACAGTTAGACATTGAGAGAGAGATTAAAAAATTGTTTATTTGAATATAACTTTACCCATGAGTCCGGCCATTGATTATGAGATAATAAAAGTATGTTTTTTTATTCAATTTTATAAAAATTATATAACAGTTTAGTTTTTAATAGTATTTTTTGTTTAGTTTTATTAGTTAATAAAATAATATTTATAATATCATTTTAATATTTATTTATTTTTGTTGTTTTTTGTTTGTTGGAAAATTTTTTATAATTTTTTTTTATTTATATGGAAATGTTTTTCATTAAAGTTATTATTATTTTTATAAAATAAAATAGTATATTGAATATTATATTTATTTTATAAACATTTATTGTATTAATATTGTGTATGAATTAACAATTACTTATGAAATAATAATAATAATATGATTGTATTAATGTATAATTTATTTATTGAATATATTTTTATTTTTAATAAAACAATTCATTAATTAAGATAGTAATATATTTATAAAACATGATAACTATTACTGTAAATGAAAAAAACAGTAATTAATTAATTATATTGCTTATTTAAAAAATTATTATTTTATATAGAATTAAGTTTAATTATCTTTAATAAAATAACATAACAAAATAAAACTAAAATTATTTATGATAATAATATTTATGATAATTTAGTGAACATTTTTGAGAAAAATATTGATTACTTTCATTTTTAAAATATAATAAATTGAAGTATTAATTATTTTGATTTTATAATTTATCATTATATTTACAAATAATTTTTTAATTAAGTTCAGTAATTATTAAAAAACATAACAAAAATAAATCAAAATTATTTATGACAATAATATTTATGATAATTTAGTGAAGATATGTGTGAAAAACAGTTATTACATTTATTGACATCACATTTAAATGGTTTAATTCCTGTATGTTTTCGTTGATGTATTAAAAGTTCAGATTTAATCGCAAATTTTTTGCCACAGTTATCGACATCACATTTGAATGGCTTTATACTTAGGTGAAGATTTCGTTTATGATGTTTTAATTGTTTTAAATTTGTAAAATATTTTCTACAGTTATTGTAATCACACATAAATTGTGGTTCAATTGAATGATCTATTGATTTGTGTTTTAGTAAACAATGATTTGTTGTAAATGTTTTTAAACACTCGTTTACTGAACACTTAAATTGTTTTTTCTTCAAATGGCTTAATTTATGTGTTTTATAATTGCTTTTAGTTAGAAATGTTTTATTACAATATTCGACATCACATTTAAATAACATTAGTTTTGAATGAAATTTAATTTCATGATATTTAATACTAGACTTTGTTGTAAATATTTTATTACAATTTTCATAAAAGCATTTAAACTTTTTATTAAAATGATAACTTGATTTATGTTCAGTTAATTGTGAATTTCTAGTAAAACTTTTGCCGCAATCGTTGACATAAAATTGAATTAAATTTAGCTATTTTTTAAAAAACATAAAAAATAAACCTAAAATTATTTATGTATATAATATTTATGATAATTTAGTGAAGATATGTGTGAAAAACATTTATTACATTCATTGACATCACATTTGAATGATTTGATTTCTGAATGTATTATTCGTTGATGTCGTAAAAGTTGAAATTTTGTTGCAAATTTTTTGCCACAGTTATCGACATTACATTTGAATGGTTTTAAACACAAATGAATATATAGTTTATGATGTCTTAAATATTCTAAATTTGTAAAATATTTTCTACCATTTTTGTAATCACACATAAATTGTTGTTCAATTGAATGATCTATTGATATGTGTTGTCGTAAACAATGATTTGTTGTAAATGTTTTCAAACATTCACTAACTAAACAAATATATTGTTTTTTCATGAAATGAGTTAATTTATGTATTTTATTACTATAATTAGATGCAAATGTTTTATTAAAATATTCAACATCACATTTAAATAATTTATTTTATTATGGGATTAATTATCCTAAATATTCATTAAATAAAAAAATTTACTGAGTTTTGATTCAAATTGTTTTTTTTGTTTAAATTTTTTATGATTTATATTCACAATTAGTTGCAAATGTTTTATCGCAATACTTAATATAAATATCTAAATTATTTATGACAATAATATTTATGATAATTTAATGTATATTTCGTTAAAAAACATTTATTACATTCATTGACATTACATTTAAATGGTTTAATTCCTGTATGTTTTCGTTGATGTCTTAAAAGTTGAGATTTAATAGCAAATTGTTTGCCACAGTTATCGACATCACATTTGAATGGCTTTATATTCAGATGATTAGTTCGTTTATGTTGTTTTAAATACCTTAAATTTGTAAAATATTTGCCACAACTATTGTAATCACACCAAACAATGACTAAAATAGTAATTGGTTATCATATCACTATATATATTTTATTTTAATCCTAAACCTGTTTAATAATTTATAATAACTTTTTACTTTAAATATACTAATATTAATGTATAGGTGTTTTGTTCGCACATTGAAAATCACACCGAAAAATGTTTATCATAGGAAAAGGAGATATCATTTTATATATAAATTTTTGTATAATCTTTAGATCTTTTTATTAGTTATTTTACGGTAAATTTTTACCACATTAGTACAACAAAGGGATCTATTATCCTAAATATTCTTTAAATAAAAAAATATTATCGAGTTTTAATTGATTTATTAATAATTATTAAAAATATTATATTTATTTTTATTGTATTATTATTGTTTATGAATTATCAATTATTGTGTTATTTAGAATTATTGAATATATTTTTTAATAAACAAATTGATTAATTAAGTATTTTAATATCAATATGATTTTTTGTAAAAATTTTCAAACACTTTTTTAGTTTAAATAATTTTTGTGATTTATATTCACAATTAGTAGCAAATGTTTTTACAAAAGTTTAAAACTTTTTTTATAAATAATATTTATTAATAGAGTACTTAATATAATTATAATAAATATTTATTAAATTAATATTAATAATCATTAAAAACTGTATTTCTATTGTTGTAATTTTGTTTTTATAAACATTATTAAAACTTTGTTTGTCATTATATTATATCAATAATTAATGTATATTTTATTTATGCTTTAAAGATAATCTTAATTTATTAAATTTAATAGTTTTATGTAATTATAATGTTTTTTTTTGGTGAGTGAGTTGAGCGACTAAATTGAGGGCCATTACTATTAATATACAGTATATTTTGTGTAGATTTTGAACACTAGGAACGGTATCTGAAAACTTATGGAAGTTTTACGATGTGATTAAGGATATACCTTAAAGATATGTTTGTTTGTGTAATCCGATTGATAAGCAAACAGTTTGAGGACTAACCAAAAGAAAAACCAATATTTACTTACAATATATTTTTTAATTGATTTTTTAAAAAAATAATTTAATATTTATTTAATAATTTCTTTTAATTATTATTATGAATTTAGTTTTGTAGAAATAATTACATTAATAATTGTTATTTAGAATATAATAGATTATAATTATTTGCTGAAAATTGTTAATATTTTAATAATTTATTTATAATATTTAATTTAAGAAACTATAGAAAAATACATTAATATAATTATAAAAATATTCAATTTTGAAATCTACTAAATAAAAGTAGAAATACCTGTTTTAAAATATAATAAATTCATGAAATAATTATTTTGATTTTATAAAATATCATTATATATAAAAAAAATGAATTAAATTTAGTAATTTTTGAAAAACATAACAAAATTAAATCAAAATTATTTATGACGATAATATTTATGATAATTTAGTGAAGATATGTGTGAAAAACATTTATTACATTCATTGACATCACATTTGAATGATTTGATTTCTGAATGTATTATTCGTTGATGTCGTAAAAGTTGAAATTTTGTTGCAAATTTTTTGCCACAGTTATCGACATTACATTTGAATGGTTTTAAACTCAAATGAATATATAGTTTATGATGTCTTAAATATTTTAAATTTGTAAAATATTTTCTACAATTTTTGTAATCACACATAAATTGTTGTTCAATTGAATGATCTATTGATTTGTGTTGTCGTAAACAATGATTTGTTGTAAATGTTTTTAAGCAATCGTTTACTGAACACTTAAATTGTTTTTTCTTCAAATGAGTTAATTTATGTGTATTATAATTGTATTTAGATGTAAATGTTTTATTACAATATTCGACATCACATTTAAATAATATTTGTTTTAAATGAAATTGAATTTCATGTGATTTAAGACAATACTTTGTTGTAAATAATTTATTACAATTTTCATAATTACATTTAAACTTTTTATTAAAATGAATGCTAGATTTATGTCGATTTAAATCTGATTTTCTAGTAAAACATTTGCCACAATCTTTGTAATCGCATACATATTTAACATTTAAATGTTTAGCTCTTTTATGATAATCTAAATATGATTTAGATTTGAATGTTTTATTGCATTTATTACATTCAAAATGTTTTATAGATGAATGCATTAATTGATGTATAAGTAAAAGCTTTTCATTAGCGTTAATATACCGACATTTAGGCCAAAAGCACTTGAATTGCTTGTTGTTATCCATAGATGTGTTGTTGTTGTTGTCATAACAGTCACTATTATCAGTGATTTTCATAGAAATACAATCATTAGTTGTTTTGATATTTACTTCATTCAAGTCATCAATTGATTTACACAATTCATAGCAATTTTTATTAATTTGTTGTAATTTTAATGACAAACATTTCAAATCAGAGAATTTATTTAATTGTATTATTATTTTATTAGATTGCAAATCCATTATTGTTTCAGAAAATTTCACTAAAATATATAAAATAAATACTATTGTGTTGTTTTGATCGCACATTGAAATCACACCAAACAATGACTAAAATAGGAAATGGATATCATATCACTGTATATATAGATATATATTTATTTGTATTTAATCCTTAAACCTATTTAATACTTTGTATTACTTTTAACATTAGGTTAACATAAATACTGTATATACTGTATACTGGATAAACATTATTAAAACCTATTTGTATTATTATATTAAAACAATTAATGTGGTTTTGTGGTTTAAATATATATTAAATGATTTTTATTAGTTTTATATAATTATAATAAGTTTTTTTGGTCAGTTAGTTGATATTGAATGTTAGAAATGAGATCTGAAAACGTATAGCAGTTTTATAATGAATTTTAGGGATACACCTGAAAGATACGTTTACCAATATTTACTTAAATATATTTTTTAATTGATTTTTTATACAATATTTATTTAATAATTTTTATTGTTTTACTGTTTATTAATTATTAATTTAGTTTTGTATTAAAAACATCACAATAATTGTTATTTAGAATATAATATTACAATTATTTGCTGAAAATTGTTAATATTTTAATAATTTATTTCAAATATTTAATTTAAATATTTAAAAAATATGTTAGTATATAAAAAGTTTGAATTATTATTATCATTTTATAATTTTATTGAATATTAAAAATAACAAAATAATTAGTTGTCTTTTATTATCGTTGTTTACTATTATTGTTGTACTAATATTAGAAATTTATAATAACATAACTTTTTTTAATCATTGAATAGCATTCATACATAAATATTATTATTATTTATTTATATACAGTATAATAATATGTGCAAAAAATATTGATTTAATTAAGTAAACTAAAAAAAATAATAATTAATTTATCTCCAAAAAAAAAATTTACTATAAATGATTTTTGTTGTTATTGTCATTAAAAGACAAGAAAATAATTAACATTCTAAAAAATAGTTTTATTTAAAGTATTTAATAAATTTTGAAATCTAATAAATAAAAGTATAAATCTAAAAATACATAGGAAAACAATTATTTTAAAATATAATTAATTCATGAAATAATTATTTTGATTATATAAAGTATTATATAAAATTATTTATTTAATAATTTCTATTGAACTACTGTTTTTTATTATTAATTTAGTTTTTTAGAAAAAAATACAAAAATAATTGCAAAAAATTGTTATCTAGAATATAATATTATGATTATTTGCTGAAAATTGTTAATATTTTAATAATTTATTTATAATATTTAATTTAAGAAACTATAAAAAATAGATTTAATAGAATTATAAAACTTTTTAAACAATTTTTTTACTGAACAATGAAATTGTTTAATTATTTTAGATAATTTTTAAAAATTTAATATCCCAAATATTAATAGAAAATGTTTTATCGCAATACTAGACATGACATTTATGTATTATTATACTGATGATTATTAATTGTTAAAATATTTTTATCTAATATTGAAAATTTATTTTAAAAAACAAAATAATTATTTTAAAGTATTTCACAAATAAATTTAATGGGTACAATAAAATGATCAATTAATTTGTGTTGTCGTAAACAATGATTTGTTGTAAAACTTTTCAAACAATCACTTACTTTACAAATATATTGTTTTTTCTTCAAATGAGATAATTTATGTATTTTATAATTGCTTTTCAATGTAAATGTTTTATTACAATATTCGACATCACATTTAAATGAACTCGAATTTCATGTGTTTTCTTATGAAAATTTGTTGCAAATATTTTGTCACAATTTTCATAATTACATTTAAACTTTTTATTTAATATGAACGCTAGATTTATGTTGATTTAAATTTGAATTACTAGTAAAACATTTCCGACAATCATTGTAATCGCAAAGATATTTAACATTTAAATGTTTAGATCTTTTATGACATTTCAAATATGATTTAAATTTGAATGTTTTATTACATTTATTACATTCAAACTGTTTTATAGATGAATGCGATAATTGATGTTTAAATACATAATTTTCATTTGTGTTAATATACCGACATTTTGACCAAAAGCACTTGAATTGTTTGTTTTTATCCATAAATGTGTTGTTGTTGTCATAATAGTCACTATATTCAGTGATTTTCATAGAAATGCAATCATTTGTTGTTTTGATATTAATTACATTCAAGCCATCAATTGTTTCATGCAATTCATTGAATTTGTTATTAATTTGTTGTAAATTCAATGATAAACTTTTCAGTTTATGAAAATTATTTAACAAATCTATAGATTTGTTTAATAACAACTTCATTATTGTTTAGAAAACTTTGACTAAAATATATCAAATAAATACTATTGTGTTTTTTTGATCGCACAATGAAATCACACCAAACAATGACTAAAATAGGAAATGGATATCATATCACTGTATATACAGATATATATATTTATTTGTATTTAATCCTTAAACCTGTTTAATAATTTGTATTACTTTTAACATTAGGTTAAAATTAATACTGTATTTCTATTGTAGTAATTTTGTTTTTATAAACACTATTAAAACCTATTTGTATCGTTATATTAAAACAATTAATTTATATTTTTTATTTATGTTTTAAAGGTATATTAATTGATTAAATTTAATAGTTTTATATAATTATAATTTAGGTTTTTTGTTGGTCAGTTAGTTGGACTAAATTTAGGGCCAGTACTATATATATATATATATGTAGATTTTCAACGCTAGGAACGGTATATAAAAACGTATAGCAGTTTTTTCGATGAGTTTAGGGATACACCTGAAAGATATGTTTGTTTGTCACCCGATTGATGAACAAACAGTTTGAGGACTAATCAAATGAAATACCAATATTTATTTAAATATAATAACAATAACAATAATTATTAAAGATGTATTTACTGTTTTTATTATTAATTTACTTTTTTTTAGAAAAAATTATATAAATAATTATAATAATTGTTATTTAGAATATAATATTATAATTATTTGCTGAAATTTGTTAATATTTTAATAATTCATTTATAATATTTTATTTAAGAAACAATAGAAAAATACATAAATATAATTATAAAAATATTCAATTTAATTATTTGATGTAAAACTTTTCAAACATTTTTTTAGGACTGAACAATGAAATAGTTTTTTTAGTTTAAATATTTTTTTTTTCATTTATATTCATAATTAGTAGCAAATGTTTTATCGCAATACTCGACATAACTTTTATTTATTAATTGTGAAAATATTTTTATTTAATATTGAACAAAATAATTGATTTAATAAAAATATTACTATATATTACTATTGTATTATTATTTTATTAGATTGCAAATCCATTATTGTTTCAGAAAATTTCACTAAAATATATAAAATAAATACTATTGTGTTGTTTTGATCGCACATTGAAATCACACCAAACAATGACTAAAATAGGAAATGGATATCATATCACTGTATATACAGATATATAAATTTATTTGTATTTAATCCTTAAACCTTTTTAATAATTTACTTTAGGTATACTAATACTAATGTATAGGTGTTTTGATCGCACATTGAAAATCACACCAAAAAAATGTTTATTGTAGGAAAAGGAGATATCATTTTGTTGTTGTTGTTAGAGATTTGTTTTTTTTGTCTCTGTATTTATCATTGTTTGTTGATTTAATAATTTTTTTTCATTAATATTTTAATTATTATAAAATATGGAGTTAATAAATGATAAAATTGTTAATATTAAGTATATGTTGAATAAATTAAGTGAATTGAAATCATTACACAATTGTATTGATATAAAAACTAATATTTTGTCACAAAATAGTGTTATGTTATGTGAAGCCATTGATTGCTTGAATACAATGAATATCACAATAAATGATTGCATTTCAATGAAAATCACTGATTATAGTGACTGTTATGACAACAACAACAACACATCTATGGATAACAACAATAACCAATTTATATGCTTTTGGCCCAAATGTCGGTTGAATTTTACTAATAAATTTAATTTAATTGAGCATCAATTGATTCATTCATCTGAAAAACAATTCAAATGTAATTATTGTAATAAAATATTCAAATATCAGTCAACTTTACGTTATCATAAAAATGCTAAACATTTAAATATTAAATATGTTTGCGATGTCAACGATTGTGGCAAAAGTTTTTCTACATAATCACAATTAAATCAACACAACTCTAAAATTCATTTAAATAAAAAGTTTTAAAGTGTTTATGAATATTGTAATAAAATTTTTAAAAATATTTCTCATTTGAAGACATAAAATGTCTGTTCATTTAAAACACAAACCATTTAGATGTGATGTCGAGTATTGCAACAAAACATTTTCAATCATTGATTGTTATAATAAACACAAATTAATACATTTGAAGAAAAAACAATTTCAGTGTTTGAAAACATTTACAACAAATCATTGTTTACGACAACACATATTCAGAGATCATTCAATTGAACCAGAATTTCGATGCGATTATAAAAATTGCGATAAAATATATTCAACTTTATTTAATTTAAAATATCATAAACGTATTATACATTTAATGATTTAAAATGTAATGTCGACGACAACTGTAGCAAACAATTTGTGTTTTTTAAAATTCATTTACAAATATTGATTAAAATAATTATAATTAATATTATTTTTAAATTTTTTTTCAGTTTTTATTAATATATTAATAGAAATTCAATTACATTTATCAAAGTTATATTAAATATTATATTAAAATAAACATAAGTCAAACGTTGACTTAAATAATAATAATTAATAAAAAAAATTTAAATCTATTTATTGAAAATTATAATTTGTTTTTGACTGAAATCAATAATTTACTAATTATAATATAATTTTAAAAAACTTAAAATAATTAAAAAAATATATTTATTTTAAATAGATTACAAAAATAAAATCAATTGCAATAAAACACTTTTGGGTTTCATTTAAAAAAAACATTTACAAAAATTATTACATTTTAACTAATAATAAAAAATTATTAATACTTAAAAATAATTAATTAATTACTTAATAATTTTTATAAAAATATGTATTATTTAAAATTATAATAATGTTTATGTATGACATATATACTAATGATAATTTTTTTTTGTACAAATACAAATATATTTCATATTAATAATAATTACAATAGTTAATTATTTTGATTTAGTATATATATATACTACTTTCAATTCAATCAATTTTAAATACATTCAATAACATTTAGTGTATTTAAATTATTGATGATATCTATAATTATGATAATTTAGTTATGATTTTTATTTAATAACATTTGAATCATTTACTTTTTGAATGTAATCGTCGATGTCGTAACAAATTTGATTTATAGCCAAATTGTTTGTTACATTCAGAGGCACCACATTTGTATGGTTTTTGATTTAAATGTACTTTAACTACATGTGCTTTCAAATTAAATTTTGTTGAATAGGTTTTATTACAATTTAAATAAAAACATTTATACCGTTTATTAAAATGAACAATAGATTTATGTGCATTTAAACGTGTATTTCTAGTAAAACATTTGCCACAATCGTTGACATCGCAAACATATTTAACATTTAAATGTTTAGATTTTTTATGATAATCTAAATTTGATTTAGTTTTGAATGTTTTATTACAATCATTACATTTGAAATGTTTATCAGATGAATGACACGCTTGATGTATAAGTAAAGCATATTTTTTATTTGAATTGAACCGACATTTAGGCCAAAAGCACGTGAATCGTGTTTTATTGTTATCCATACGTGTGTTGTTGTTGTTGTTGTCATAACAGTCACTATAATCAGTGATTTTCATAGAAATGCAATCATTTGTTGTTATGATATTCATTGCATTCAAGGCATCCATTGATTCACACAATATAATTATAATAATTCATAAAGTTTAGATATCCATTGATAGCAAACAAAAATATTTATCACATTTACTTAGTTTTAATTGATTTTTATTTATGAATAGTAATAATTTTATTTTATGTAATTTATTATATTGTATATAAAGAAGTATTTTATGTGTGTATTACTAAAACTAAATATTCAATATATTTTTAAATAATATACTAAAAAATAATAAATATTTAAATAATATTCAATTTAATAAATAATTATTTTGATTTTTTTAAAGTATAAATAATTATCAATATATAAGAATGAATTAATTTTTAATTAGTTTTATTAACATTTTATTAATGTATATAAATTATTGATGACATCTATATTTATGATAATTTAGTCCAGATTTTTGCATAAAACATTTATTACAATCATTGACATCACATTTAAATGGTTTAATGCCTGAATGTGTTCGTCGATGTCGTAAAAGATTAGATTTTGTAGTAAATTGTTTGCCACAGTTATCGACATCACATTTGAATGTGTTTATAGACAAATGAATACTAAGTTTGTGTTGATATAAACCACTAAAAGAAACAAATATTTTGTCACAGTTTTCATAATTGCATCGAAATTTCGGTTCAATTGAATGATCTTTGGATATGTGTTGTCGTAAACAACAATTTGTTGTAAATGTTTTCAAACACTCATTCACTGTACAGTTATATATTTTTTCAGTCAAATGTGTCAATTTGTGTGAATTATAATTACCATTAGTAGCAAATGTTTGATTGCAATAATCGACATCACATTTAAATATATGTTGTTTTAAATGAACTGCTATTTGATGTGTTTTCATTTTAAATTTGTTTGAAAATTTTTTATTACAATTTAAATAAAAACATTTAAAACGTTTATTTAAATGAACACTAGATTTATGTTGATTTAAAAGTGAATTACTAGTAAAACATTTGCCACAATCGTTGTAATCGCAAACATATTTTATCATTAAATGTTCAGCTCTTTTATGATAATTTAATGATGACTGGCTTTTGAATGTTTTATTACAATTATTACATTTAAATAGTTTTTCAGATGAATGAACTGATTGATGTAAAAATAAATTATTTTCAATATATGTTTTATACCGACATTTTGGCCAAAAACACGTGAATCTCGTGTTATGGTTATCCACACGTGTGTTGTTGTTGTTGTTGTCATAACAGTCACTATAATCAGTGATTTTCATAGAAATGCAATCATTTGTTGTTATGATATTCAGTGCATTCAAGCCATCCATTGCTTCACACAATTCATAGCATTTGTTATTAATTTGTTGTAATTTTAATGACAAACTTTTCAATTTATAAAAATTATTTAACTCATTAATAGCAGTTTTGTTTAATAATAACTCCATTATTATTGTTTTAGAAAATTTCACTAAAATATATAAAATAAATACTAATGTGTTGTTTTGATCGCACATTGAAATCACACCAAACAATGACTAAAATAGGAAATGGATATCATATCACTGTATATACAGATATTTATATTTGTATTTAATCCTTAAACCTGTTTAATGATTTTTATTAATTTTACTTTATATTATATATATATATATAATTATAATATTTCATAAAGTTTTGGTATAAGTTTAGATATCCACTGAAAGCAAACAAACAAAAATATTCACACATTTACTTAGTTTTAATTGATTTTTATTTATGATTAGTAATAATTTTATTTTTTGTAATTTATTTTATTGTTTATAAAAAAATATATATTTTTATTAAAAAAAACATTTATTATTTAAAATTAGAGTAATGTATCTACATATTATGTTTTACATGTATATTTATGATAATTTAGTAATTAAATATTTTTATGTAAAAAATTTAATACAATCATTAACTTTACATTTATTATTATTTAAAAATAATTTTAAATATAATAACTTAGTAAATGATTAAAAATAATAATTTAATTAGTATTAACAAATTAAAAAAACATATATTTGATTAAAACCTTGTACAGTATTATAAAAAATATAAATATATTACAATGTTTTTTTTTAATTTAACTATTATATAATTTTATAAATATTTAATTACATTTAATTTATATTTTATTAATTATCTTAAAATTATTATTATTATTATTATTATAAATTTATTAATATACCAAATAATTATAATATATTTAAAAATAAATAGAGTAAAAATATGATTTTTTATATAAATATAATATTTAAAATTAATAATAATTTCAATAGTTATTTATTTTTATTTAGTTTATAAAATACTTAATCAATTTTCAATACATTTAATTACATTTAGTGTATTAAAATTATTGATGACATCTATACTTTAGTGATGATTTTTTTCATCACTTTTTAAATGTTTTACTTATTTTTTTGTTTTTTAAATGTAATCGTCGATGTCGTAAAAAATTAGATTTATCGCCAAATTGTTTATAACATTTATAGGCATCACATTTGTATGGTTTTTGTTTTAAATGTTCTTTAACTACATGTGATTTCAAATGAAATTTTGTTGAATATGTTTTATTACAATTTAAATAATAACATCAAAATGAACGTAGATTTATGTTCACTTAAAAGTGTATTTCTAGTAAAACATTTTCCACAATCGTTGTAATCGCAAACATATTTAATTAGTAAATGTTTAGCACTTTTATGATACTCTAATGATGACTGGCTTTTGAATAATTTATTACAATTATTACATTTGAATAAATTATTAGATGAATGAATCAATTGATGTCTACTTAAATGTGTCTTATTTTTCGTTTTAAACCCACATTTAGGCCAAAAACACTTGAATCGCGTGTTATTGTTGTTATCCACACGTGTGTTGTTGTTGTCATAACAGTCACTATAATCAGTGATTTTCATTGAAATGCAATCATTTGTTGTGATATTCATTGCATTCAAGCCATCAATTGTTTCACACAAAACAACACTATTTTCAGACAAACTATTTGTTTGTTTATTAATATTATTTTGTAGTGATTTTAATTTACATAATTTATTCAACATATACTTAATTGTATTGATTTTATTAGATAATAATAACTTCATATTTTATTAAATTAAAATATTTATTGCAAATAATGTTAACAACAAATAAATACAACTAAATACTGAGTCAAACACATAAAACAATAGTTTTTTATCTCTTATATTATATTTTATAATATCAATAGATATCAATAACTGTTTGCTATAATATAGTCATTTATATCATAAATCATTTAATAAACATAAGTACAACACATGTTATATAAATTTTTTTATGTAAAAGAGTAGACTTATGATAACTTAAGTATTATTACATGAAATTCATACTATAATTAATTAATATATTATAAAAAACAATTGTTTATTAATTTATAAAAATTAATTAATACATTGTACAGTATATTATACTATTATATATATATATATGTAAAGTATATCTACTTTATATTTAATGATAATTTATATATGTAAAACATTAGTTGATTTTTACGGCAATTGTTTATTAGGCGCACCAATAGATTAAAAAACTCATTGTATTTTAAAATTATTATTTTATTTAATTATTAAATTGTTATACATTTGTAGTTTATATGTTGCAGTCGTGAAGCACTGGCATATCTAAGCATAAAATGTAAGGTCAGTGCTGATCCTTATATAGGGATTTTAGGCAATACTTGACCCATAAAATAGTCGGCAGTTATTTGAAAAGTAATAAACATATAGAAAGTGAATACTTTCTATAAATGGCAAAAATGCTAAATTTAAGTCTATTTGATAATTAAATTATTGCTATATTTAAGTGAAATATAGATATTTTAAAGTTATTTTTAAACATAAAGTGTTTATACTTTACATATATAGAAATATTTCACTTAAAATAAGTAATAATTTAATTAACAAATAGACAAAAATTTAACATTTATGCTAATAATAGAAAATATTTTACTTTCTATAACTTTATTACTTTTTCAAATAACTGCCGACTATTTTAAGGGTCAATCTATTGACTTAAATCCCTATATAAGGGATAGCACTGACCATACCTTTTATGCTTTGATATGCCAGTGCTTACGACTGCAACATATTAACTACGAATGTATAACAATTTAATAATTAAATAAAATAATAATTTTAAAATACAATGAGTTTTTTAATGTATTGGTGCGCCTAATAAACAATTGCCGTAAAAATCAACTAATGTTTTACATATATATATATATATATATATATATATATAACTTTATACTTATGCACTGTATATTAATTGTTTTTATTTAAAAAAATTAACTATAAATATATAAATGTTTTTATTATAGTAAATAATAGTAGTAATAGTAAATTAGTAATATAGTTAATAATATATCAAACAATAGATTAATTTTGTATAATAATAATAATAATAATTTTTTTTGCAATACATCTGTATTTTCTTATTATTTTTTAATTTATAGTATAATATTAATAAATAGTATTTTATTATTTTTTTGTGACAATGATCTCTTACTGTATAATTTATTTATTGAATATATATTTTTAATAAACCAATTAATTAATTAAGGATCTAATATTTTTTTAAATAAAATAACTAATAGTATAAATTTTAAAAAAATTATTAGATAATTATTTTGATTTTATAAATTATCATTATATCTAATTATTTAACTTAAGTTTAGTTATTTTTTATAATAATATAAAAATAAATCTAAATTATTTATGACAATTATATTTATGATAATTATGTGCAGATTATTTTTTTATAAAAACATTTATAAGATTCATTGATATCACATTTAAATGGTTAATTGAATTATTATTATTAATATTTTACAAATAATTAGCAATTTAAGTATATCTTATTTTATATATAGTATATTATTATATATATAGATGCAAATGTTTTATTACAATGTTTGACATCACATTTAAATGATTTTTTTGTTTTAAATGGTAGTGAATTTCATGATATTTAATACCAGATTCTGATTTACATAATTTATTGCAATTTTCATAAAAGCATTTAAACTTTTTATTGAAATTAACGCTAGATTTATGTCGATTTAAATCTGAATTTCTAGTAAAACATTTGCCACAATCTTTGTAATCGCAAACATATTTAACATTTAAATGTTTAGACCTTTTATGACAATATAATGACGACTGACTTTTGAATGTTTTATTACATTCAAACAGTTTTATAGATGAATGCATTAATTGATGTATAAATAAAATACTTTCATTATATGTTTTATACCGACATTTTGGCCAAAAGCACATTATATAATTATAAAACATTCAATTTAATTATTAGTTAAAAACTTTTCAAACATTTGTTTTACTTAACAACGAAATTGTTGTTTTTAGTTTAAATAAATTGTTGTGATTTATATTCAAAATTATTAGCTAATTTTTTATCGCAATACTCGCATCAAATTTATTATTATTATACTAATAATTAATATTAATAGTGAAAATATTTTTATTTGCAAATTTATTTTAATAAACCAAATAATTGATTTAAAGTATTTAATACATGTATGTATTTAAAGGGAAACAAATTTGTTTTTTTTATTTTTTTTGAGAAACAAGTTTATGATTCATAGCTCACATAACACATAAACTGATAGTAAAAATGTGAAAATGTATTAAACTGTTTGTCAATTAAATTATTGTGTGACACATAAAACACACATTCATTTTGTTGTTGAAATAAATGCTTTATTTTGTTATTGTTGTTATCATACATATTGATTGACTAATGTAAGGCTAATTTTGTGGACAACAATAACTAATAATTTTTTTTAAAAATTTAACACTAATTTAAATTTAAAAAAATTAATCAAAAACAAACTAATTGTTTGTTTGCTATTAAGACTACACACACAATGTTTTATGAGGTGAGTGTCTATTAACTTATTATTTAATTTTTTTTAAACATTTAATTATAAATTTACTGATTTTTGTTGTTGTTGTTGGTATTCAAATATTAAACTATTTAATTTTATTTATTTATTTTACAATTT